CGAGGGGGGGAGGGGCTGCTCTCCTAGAGCCCCGTTTCTGTAAAATGCGGGAAGGGGAGAAATCACAGAACAATTACCTTCGCTGTGAGAATTTATAGCTTCAGTCCTTTTCCTCTAGCAAGCCTGGGCATAAGTTCCGTTACAAATGTTTGCGGACAGGTGGGAGATGAGAAAAATGGAAAACCAGTCAAGATACACATAACCATTTTTGGTTTTTCCTCCCTTTGTAATGTAACTTCTTGCAGCATTTTAGACAAGTATTTTTAAACCAAAAATAGCACCTTCGTTTAAGAAAGGTCAAGAGACACAATACCCTATTTAATTTCCTTCTCCCTAGTCATCTGCAGGTCCATTGAAGAGAATGTCTTGCTGCAAGGCGATTAGATTAGGGGTGCCACTGTTTTTCAGAGAGCAATGTCTGAAACGATGTGGACAGCCCAAAATAACCTGAAGATTAATCCTTGCTCTTGCCTGAAATCAGTCCCATACCTACAAACACTCAACTCAAAAAAAAGAAAAAGGTTAGAAGTCTGGAGGTTGAAATCTGGTCAGAAAGAGTTCTGCAGAAGACTTGAGAGGAAGAAGAGCATTTCTTTGAAAAATTGAAACCAAAATTATCATTCACCCCTGCTGACTCCCTCCTGGGTTGTCTCGAGTGAAACCAAAGCAGACTGCCATCCTGCACAGGGGCACGACCTGGCTGGTGACCTGGGGTGGGTTTGGCATCCCTGTTGCAGATCCTGTCTAACTGTATTCTACAGCTGTGGGCTGTCCTAAGAAAAGGAGAAACCTACAACACGGTCCTCATCCAGATAACGGTTAAGATTCTCTGTATTCTCAGCAGCACTTCCCCAGTTTCCTGGGGCTGTATGTCAACATCCTTGACATCACAAGTGTATTCAGATCACCTTGTATTTCCAGCATGCCCAGTCCTTTGTCTCAGAATTCATGTGACTATGAAACCAGTACCTGGCAGAATAATTTTTAGTATTTTAAATTCGAGATGAATCCCTTTTGATAGGAATAGTAAATACATTTCATGCGTTTTAATCGGAGATTTTTTTTTAAACACAACTATCTCCAAGTTACAATTTGCTTAGGAGTTTTTGATTTAATAAATACACACCGTATTTTTAGTCATTTGTTTCTAAACATGTAGCATTGGAGCATGTATTTTTTTGCGGACTTGAATTCCAAGTAGTTTTTTGTGGCTAAAAAGTGACAATACGAATTTGAACCATCTTATGCTTCCGATTCACAACAGCTATTCGTAACGAAATAGCGAGGGTTCCTGAGGTCTTGAACAGCTGCTCCTTCGGTCTAACCGATGTTCTGCCCTGAGCTGGTAGTGCACCCGCGGTTTGTTCGGTATGCCCAGGTAAGGTTTGTGTGGCCTGGATTATCAGTGATTCAAAGGGCTCCTGTATAAGCACAAGGTGGTCAAATTGTTTACTCTCCATGTGTACTGAAACCTGCATTTCTTCATCATCCTGTAGCCTCTGCCAGCTGTGCCCTTTTTGAAGTGGTAAGAAAGTGTCGTTTTGTAACTGTGCAGCAGGTTGTTTTTCAAGCCAAAGGAGAACGGTTGTCCTTGCACCCCAGCTGGCTGAGGAACAGCTTTGTTTGAACACGTGCTTCGAGTTCTGGCTTTCAACTGAATGTCCTTTGTGTTTCAGTCTCCAAGCCAGCACCTTACTGGGAAGGAACAGCAGTCATTAATGGAGAATTTAAAGAGCTGAAATTAACGGATTATGAAGGAAAATATCTTGTCTTCTTCTTCTATCCTCTTGACTTGTAAGTAAGACTACTGTAGACATACCAAGACTGAGTGCAGCTACACTAGACTTGTAATTCATGAATCTTTCTCTGGTTTTGAGGCTTTGTTTTTTCATTTGGTGAGGGTTTGGAGAAGAAGAAAGAATGAAAGAAGAAAACAGATTCTTTGCATTTGTGTCTTCATCATGCATTGGTAAAATTGTAACACAATCTTTGTCCTAAGAAGCGTGTCCACTGGTTGGTGCTTCACACAAAAAAAAACTTTCAGTCTGTAGCAACCTTTACATTTTGTATGGTGCTGCAAATCACTGCTGCAAATGGAAGATGGCATCCCATCTATGTTTTCCAGAGTGTATGTAGGATATTAAGAGATGGTGTTTTGCCTTGAAGTTCTTCCCATAACATCTTAAGAACATCTAATGTTACCCTCCTTCATTTAGAATGCAGTAACTTCACTGGTTGAGTGAAAACACCTTAGCTTTCTACCAGACAAGCCCATTCTTTTCCACAAAATCAAGAAAAGAGGACAGAGATGCGTAACTACCTGAACATTATAAAGGAAATAACGTGGCTCTTGGCCCTTAGCTTCAAGGCCCTAGAAATTGTGATCTTTATCACTTTATTTCTTCCGTAGTGGAAAAAGTTCAAGTCAAAATACTTAAAATTTGCAGATGTGCACAGTAGCAAGAAATTATAGTATGTTCCTCTGAAAAAAACATGGTGTTTTGTGCTTAAATTCAGCCACTTAATATTCAGAAAATCTAAAAGAAAGTAACTGTAAAAACACTTGTATCCGGATTGTAAGCTAACTGTAGGCTTAGAATCTTCTTCAGTAATAAACCGTTTGTAACTGAGCTAGAGGCTGAGGGTGGAGGGTTTGTCAGGCAGCATTTTGGTTAAATACTTGAAGAAGCAATACAAAATAAGTAAAAGCTGAAATCATTTATGATGAATCACCATTTTAAGTTAAACAGAATTTACTGGATGTCTTGTGAAATTTTGACTTTATCTTGTTTTAAATTATCTAGTACGTTTGTCTGTCCAACTGAGATAATCGCCTTCAGTGACAGAATTGAAGAATTCAGAGCAATAAATACCGAAGTAGTAGCATGTTCTGTGGACTCCAAGTTCACTCACTTAGCATGGTATGTATCTTATCCTTGTCTTTTTCTAAGAATTGTTCATGGGTCCGTCTTAGCTGAAGAACTGCATCCCCAAATTTGTAGCCTATGTAGGTGTACTGTCATGGCTAAAAAAATGATACTATTGATCAAATGTTGGTAATATTTTTCAGTGGTAAAAAATTTTAACCCTAGTGTGTGAAATTATCTTTGAAGCTTGTCTAATACAGACTGATTGAAATATATCATGTCTCAGTCCAAAAAAATATTTCAATTACAAAAGAAAGGGATAAGGGTGCAAGTATCTGCAACCGCATTACTCTGTCCCAGTTCATGAGCACATTGGTATAAAGAGAATATGATAAGAAAGAGGTCACTATTAACAGATGTGGTGAAAAACTGCAAAAGAGCTACTGAATGTTTTGCTCAAACCGTAAATAGTGTTCGTCTCCCTTGCGTGCAGAACAAGAAAAATGTCCATTGCACTAAATCCTTCTGTCTGTACTGTTCTACTTTGTATAGGGAATGTGAATCTGTATGAGAAATACATCTGTGTCTCATTTCTTTCAAAGGATTAATACTCCTCGGAAACAAGGGGGACTTGGACCTTTGAGGATTCCGCTTCTTTCAGATTTGACACACCAAATTTCAAAGGATTATGGTGTATATCTGGAAGATCAAGGGCACACACTTAGGTATTTCACTTGGTTACAGTTCATCTTGCTCTGCTGCAGTAGTACTTACTACTTTATAGCTAAAGAAGGATTTGAAATTTTTCTCTGAGAGCAGTTTTTAGTTGGGGATTCATGCTGAGGGACAATATACATATTGAATAACACAAAAAAATAGCCATACTGAGTCAGAACAGGGGTCGAGGTTAATATCCTGTTTGCCAGCAGGGATCAGCAGATAGCTAGGGCAGGGCAAACATGCAGAATACCCCAGAACTGCAGTTACTCGGGGACCTCCGAAGTCCCAGTGGAGTCGAGACGAAGGGTAACTAATGGCCTCAAGAGATACATCTTTCACAGACTTATCAGTTGCTTTTGGAATCCCTGTAACTTCATAGCATCCGCAACATCCCTGGCAGGGCCCGCCGAAGCTTGGTTTTATGTTCTGCGAAGAACTATCCTTTTTTGGTGTTATGTCATTGAAACCCCAGGTAAAGAATAGTAGGTTAGCAGCATTCTGAGGTGGTGGGTATTGTATGGTGTTTGCAGAGAAATTCTTCCCCTCCAGCAGACGTAAAACAGTGTGTAAACACAACACTGTAATTAGTTCTGTTTCCTAACACACACCAAAAAAAAAATGTTTTCACAGAGGCCTTTTCATCATTGATGATAAGAGAATCCTTCGACAGATCACAATGAATGACCTTCCTGTTGGGAGATCAGTGGATGAAACGCTTCGTTTAGTACAAGCATTCCAATACACAGACAAGCATGGAGAAGGTGCTCTTTTAAATACTTTCACGTTGAAGATATCGTTTTACTTAAACTGGAAACTGTGTGTGTAGCTTTTTGGAAGAAAGGTACTCAGTAGCGGTAGAGACTTGCCTCCTGCAGTGAGTGAAGCGGTGTGATTGCCCTGCTACGAGACCCTGTGGTCCTGGTACCTCTGTAGGTTGTTTCTAGGTAGTAATTCACATTTTGCTTCACATCCATGAGAATGCAGAGCATAAAGAATTCCTTAGTCTGAATTAAGGCATTACATACCGTCTGTCACAAACATAAATCTGTACAAAATACACGGCCATGAAGAATCAGGTCAAACATTTCAGTACAGTACTAAAATAATTGAGATGCAGGCCATCCTTGTCCTGTGTCATTCATGGAGGATCTGTGATAAGTAACTGAGAGTGCTTCAGGCCAAGATCCATGGTGATACTGTGAAAGCTGGACTGCCATTACGTGCGCTTTCTTTACAAGTGCTAGTGATCACCTGCCCCTGACAAAGCAGCTTTCACTGGCTTCAGATCTAACTTTGTCTCGAAGAATTCATATCCCCCCAGTTCAAGCATAGGGTGAACTTTTCACATGCCTTTAACTAATATGTTTAAATAAACACATTAATTTATTCAAAGATTTGTTTAAATATTAATACGCATGTTCCGCAGCCTAACTTTCAACTCAATTTCACATGGCATTTGAAAGTACCTTTACCTGAAGGTACAAATCAGTATTATGCTTTGCTGTACAGATTTAAAAAGATAAATGCTGATACTTAGGATATGCCTGTTTGACTAAGGAAATTTAACCTCTCTTAGTTAGTTACAAAGCTGTCTTACAGAATATTGATCTGCAGTGTGTTTCCAGAGTACCACATTTTTTTCCCAGCTGTGTGGAATCTCACCAGCTTTTGCATGAATGCTGAGGAGACCCTCCCTAGGTGCCTTACTGGATTCTTTGCACAGAGCAGGGAAAAAAGTGCTCCACAATTCCTAACTGCATTTGTGGCATTTTGTCTGGCAGCACGGCTTAAAGCAGTGTAGTACGGCATAACACGGAGGGAGACCTCTGAACAGACAAGAGCTTCGCTCCAGAACGTGCAACTGTACAGGTGGTCACAGGGCGCTCAGCCACGCTGCAGGCCAACTGCACGCTGTAATCCCTTTACTCCTGAGCAACGCTTCAAATAAAATCACTCAGTCTCGTGTGGAATCTTTGATCTATTGGCTAAAAAATTTCCCCTAGCATTGGTTTTAAAGAAAGAAAGGTAGGTCTCTGCGTAGTCACCTGAGTTTCATCATGAAACTTTTGTTTCTACTAGAATAGGTGTTCATTCTCAGATACCACTTTGCCAGTACTTTGTCTGGAAGGGCGTGAGAATTAAACCAAAGCATAGAGATCCGTCCAGATGGAAAGGTGGTTTCCAGTTAACAGAAGTGGTAGGTGGTGGTATAAGGTATAATCTGTCATGACACCATCCCATGTATAAAGAAAACTGCCTATTTAATAGTTGCAGATATTTACGTGACACTGGTGTGCTGTTTTACTTCAAGTTCAGAAATAGAATATTAAGTGTACAAAAGTAAGCGTGCATAAAAATACTTTTACTAACTTTGTCCTTTTTTTTCCCCAGTTTGCCCTGCTGGTTGGAAACCTGGCAGTGAAACAGTAAGTCACTGTTTATATTTAAATGCATGTACTACTCAAAAACACTCAGTTATCATTTCCACTAAAGCCAAATCCAAAATCTTGGCAACTTTCAGTGAGATTATATGAGTAAACTCACGTTATTATAGCTACAGCTTTGGGATTACCACTGATTTCATTAGGAGCTCGTTTCCCTCGCACTAGGCATATTCCAGTTGTTTCAGCTCCCTCATGTATGAACAAAACTCTCGAGAAGCAATGAGTTTGTGAGCAAGAACTTTTTTTCCTTCTAACACCTGATGATAGGAAGTTGGAAGCTCTTGAGTCTGTCCTGTCTTCTCAGTTATTACTCCATAGAAATTCTTGGTTCTGTCGAGTCTTGCTGTGGATCCTAGGCACTACCCAAAAAAGGGGAATCATACATAAAATGTTTTGAGTTGGAAGGGACCTTAAAGATCACCCAGTTCCACCCCCCTGCCACTGGCAGGGGCACCTTCCACCAGCTCAGGTTGCTCAAAGCCCCGTCCAGCCTGGCCTTGAACACTGCCAGGGAGGGGGCAGCCACAGCTTCTCTGGGCAACCTGTTCCAGTGCCTCACCACCCTCATCATAAAGAATCTCTTCCTTACATCTAATGTTAATCTACCCTCTTCTACTTTAAAGCCATCACCCCTTGTCCTGTCACTACAGGCCCTTGTAAGCTGTCCCTCTGCAGTTTTCTTGCAGGCCCCTTTCAGGTAGGGGTTCCGAGGCTGCTGTAGTACCTGACAGAGCCAGCGTGCCACTGTCGGCACTCCAGCAGAGAGCACTGCTTTGCTGCACGGTAACTCCTCCTCTTGTGTCGCTTCTCACCACATGTGACACAAGCAGAAGAGCTCGAGCTAGCGTTCGGACAAACGCCCATTGAACTTGTTTGTGTTCTCCAGGCTTGGGCCAAGCCTCAGCAGAATAATGAAACTTTCACTAGAGGTCTGAGCTGCCTAATTCAGATGAGATCACTGAGCATGTGGCTTTCTTCTGAACCATCTGGTGATGAGAGAGTGGTGGTGTTTTAAGAGCTGTCTCAACAAAGAGCAGGTCCCAGCAGCCTCTAAGCAGAGTAGGGAGCATGGTAATTGACAGTAAAAACTGTGGAATGTTAAACCATGTTTCTTTGCTGGCTGTGAAAACTTCTCAGGATGACGTGAGGGTAGGAGTCACCTCTTTAAAGCTAGCAGAAGAGTGTCTTTGTGGGGGAAGCTGGATATTAACGCTGTAAAATGGAAGAGGGCTGGCTGGCCTAACAGACATATTTAGGCACTGAAAAGTTCTGCCTTCCATAAGCATGGGTTACCTAAATAATACAACGTTGACATATTTTCTAAAAACACTCTTACACTGCTGAGATAAACAGCTCCAATACTACCATTTTAAAGACCTAAAATGGTACATAAACATTCTCTTTCTCCTCTGTGCCAAAGATGCAGATAATTTAAATAGCAGAGTAGTTCAAAAAGACTTTCTCAAAGATGTAGCCATGCCTTCTAAATGTGCTTGATTTAATTAGATCAAACCAGAGGAAGCCATGAGAGTGTGGTGGCCAAGGGAAGAACTGTAAGTAAATTCTAAGACTCTTAATTACGGATGTTAATTTATTAAATTATCTTGCTTTTGGGGAAAGCCATATAGATGTATGTGCTCCCAACTGTCAAAATTCTTCCTTTGGTAGGCTGCACTCTCTCTTCCCCCAGTTAGTTAAAACCTTTCTGCTACTGCTGTGAAGTACCTTCAGAGATAAACAGTAATCTAGTATGAAGTCAGTTGATAAATTACTCTGCAGTGTTGCTGGGGGGTTGGCCTTAGCATCGTATTATGAAATGCTGTGCTGTTCTGGTTTTATAGTTTGCTGTGTTTGCGTGGTTTTTAGACTATCATTTTCATTTTCTTTCTTGCGCAGATAATTCCAGATCCAGCTGGAAAACTGAAGTATTTTGATAAACTAAACTGAAGCTCACTTCCGTTGAATTATATGGGTCACATTCAACTTGATTTTTGCCAATAAAATTTCATTAATTTTGTTACTTTCATGAGTTTGACTAATGTGTAACTGCAGTAGACCAGTAAATGTCTTGTTGCTTAGAGGGGAGTCTAACCTGTGTGAAGCACAGGTACCTCATTACTTCAGAGAATATTCTTGTGAAATGCATGCTTTTTTCCTGTAAGTCTTGTTTAGGTGGTTGGTTTTCCCAAAATTTGCTTCTCTCAGCATCTCAGGCTTAGATTGATGACTTTTGCTATTGATAGAGTACTTAATTTATGCAAAAATCTTGTCTGCTTGGTCACATTCTAGGAGCTACAGCTACAGAACAGCCACCTGGTTACAGTACATTAGTCTTAGCCCAGAGGCAGTAGCAGCTAACCTGAAAGCCAGAAATACAGTTAGAGATGCTGAATTAAATTTCCAGTCTGTCCAAAGCTGCAAAACATTTTTAAACTGCTAAGAACATATCCTACGCTACATAAGTCAGTACAACTGCACGGAAAAATACAGTTGTGCCACTTCATGTGATTCCAGCGCTCAACCAGTCGTGTTTTCCGCACTTGTATTTGTGGTGGTATCGATCTTACCAGCATATACATTTCACACGGTCTGAATTTCTCCCCTGGCCCTACACTGTTAGCAGATCTACGCCATGGTTAGTCTGCTGTGCTGATCCGCTTGTTAACCGTGGCTCCTAGTTTTAAGGGAGCAACTGTAGGCGTTCCAAACATTAGTACTGCCATGGTCAGCGATCGTCAGAAACTCCTGCGGCTCACGTACATGAATGTTTTCTTTCAAGGGAAAAGAACTTCTCCGTGTAAGACGCACTTCATACCTGTGTGCACTGGAGACCCCTTTCAGAAGAATGTCTTCTATTGCTCCTTCCCACCTCTCCCTCTTTTTGACGTGGTGTTCTAGAGTCTGGGCAACTGGAAGGGCAGCACCTGAAGTCAGTGTCAGCCCTTCACCGGCGTCATCCTTGGAAGGGCCGGGGAGGCAGCCTTCTCCTCCTACGGCATTACTCTTGGTTGGATCCCACGCTCGTAAGCACCCCCTTCCCCTTCCCCCACCAGACCATGCGATTCCCTTCCCCTCAGTTCTGCAGAAGCAGACCAGCAGTTGCGTTCTCCCTGCCGCGCTGCCCGATTTTGCAGACTTTGGCAAGTACTGAGCCACTCTCCGGACCGGTCGCTGCAGACGGGGCGCAGAGGCAGCTGCTCGCCCTTCGCCTCGGCTCCGACGCAGTGACGCCTACGCACGTGCCTGGGGCAGAGAGAGGGGGCCGCAGACGGAGCGAGCAGAAGTCCCCGAGGCCGGGGGAGAGGAGCCGCTTGAATTTTACGCAGGATTTTGTTTACAGCCTTTATCAACCTGAGGCACCAAAAAAAGAAAATCCAAGCAACTGCAGTGGGGCACGCGCCGGCCGGGCTACGACAGGGCCGTTCGTACGCAGCCCACGGCACGGAGCAGACCTAACGCTCGGAGACAGCGGTTGTGCCCTCTCCTTCAGCAGCTCTGCCGGCCTCCCCAGCCAGGTCACCCCCGCTCACGCCCATCGCTCTGCCGGCAGCAGACACCTCCATGGCACCAAGCCAGCGAACAAGGCGTTATAAAGAGTCACCGTCCCCGCACCGAACGTGCCCCATCCGGCCCCCAGCTCCCTGCCAAGCCCAGTCAGTAGCAAGTTCCAGCAACGAAACCACAGGTTGTGCAGCACACAGAGCAGCAAGAGCATCAGACAAAAGCAGGTGCCGAAAGCTCTACGAACCCTGAGCCAAGAAAAGAAAATAGGACTGAGCACACTGACTGACTGCAGAAAACTGAGGCCGTCTGCACACGCTGAACATCGCAGATTTAGGTCCACGGCAGTGTAGCTGCACCAGATTTGAAGGCCCCAGCCCTCTAAACACATGCGGTAAGGAATGGGCTAAGGAATTCTGAGGTTTTATTTTTTTAAAGCAGTTCAATAGGAACAAAAAGTCTTAGGGAAATAGTCCTTAAGCAAAGACCTCCGGCACTATGTCACATTACATATTCGAAATGAAATATTATTTATATGGAAAAAGAGAATGGGGTTTTACAGAGATTTGGATATGCTGGTAGGGAAGTTCAGGAAGGAAAAGACTGGGAAAAAAAAATGCGAAAGTGCTGGCATTTGAGGGGGAGAAGGGAGAGCTGGGGGGAGATAAAGGCAAACTCTCAGTTGCACGCTGCCTCCAGGAAAAAGGGAAACCGAAGGACAGAAGATGAGATCCCCAAATAGAATACTGGAAACTCGGCAGGGAGGGTGAACCACGGAAGTCTGTGGGTTTGGGACCACAAGGATTTGCAGATGTGCAAGACGAATGGCAAGCTGAGGATCTGGCTTATCACTACCTGCTAAAGCTACCGCCTTCCTCTTGCTTTACTACCGAGACCTTGGTTTCAGCATACCTTGGGACAGCACGTGCCATTTACCTGTGTCAGCTGATGTCCGTGCTGCCCTCCATCACAGCAGAGCCCGATGAGCAGCTGCAAGCACACAGAGCTTCCCCGGGTGGTCGATTCCCCCGCTGCAGGCAGAAGCCAAGGACGGAGTGACAGAAAGCAGGACTAGGAATGAACAATGCACGAACAGAGCAAACAGAGCTCTTGAAGGTGTAAGGCCCTGTTCTGAACTGACATTTGCTAGAAGAATCATGCTTTTTGACCCTCACACACGTATACTGTATATACACCTGATAAATGCAGTGAAATGGTAATGAAATGACAATGCAACTTTAGGGATGATGCTGTGATAACTCGCTGAAGGACGCCTGCAGGCGCTGCCCACTCCTCCCGGATGTTCTGAGAAAGCTCTGCCTCCCCAGGCAGCCAGCCCTGCAGAGCCCTGGAGCTCGCCATGCCTGTGAGAAGAAACTCACTCTTAGCAGCATTTAATTCTGGAGATGACCCCCTCACAGGCTCCCTGCCAGCCTGGCAGACACACAGGGCCCGCAGGACTGCTGCATGACTGCACCTGAATTTTCTGCTGAACAGTTACCAGACAAAGTGCTGCGAGCTGGGACCAGAACCCCTACCACTGTCCTTTCCAAGCGCCCCAAGCTCTGCTCGCCAGAGCCATGCTCCCCTCCTCCAGAAATCTGCCGTTCCTGCTATCCAGCAGAAGACAGAAGAGTAAGGAGCAGCCAATGTCCAGCAAAGCCCTCAGCCTCCTCAACAGGACCCCAGCAGGGACAAGGCTGGCGAGTTGGGCTGAGAGTAATCTGATCAGGTTCAACAAGGGCAAGTGCAGGGTCCTGCACCTGGGAAGGAACAACCCCATGCATCAGTACAGGCTTGGGGTGGACCTGCTGGAGAGCAGCTCTGCAGAGAGGGACCTGGGTGTCCGGGTGGACGACAGGTTAACCATGAGCCAGCAGGGTGCCCTGGCTGCCAAGAAGGCCAACGGAATCCTGGGGTGCATCAAGAAGAGTGTGGCCAGCAGGACGAGGGAGGTTCTCCTTCCCCTCTACACTGCCCTGGTGAGGCCTCATCTGGAGTACTGTGTCCAGTTCTGGGCTCCCCAGTTCAAGAAAGATGAAGAGCTACTGGAGAGAGTCCAGCGGAGGGCTACAAGGATGATGAGGGGACTGGAACATCTCCCCTACG